TATATTAATGACATAACACGTGTAATAAAATATAAATGTACCTTATATGCTGATGACATATCGATAATTGTGACATCAAAAGATGATAAAAACCCTGACTCATTAAAAAATCACTCATCTTACATTAATAATACCATTGACATGATAATAAATTGGCTAAATCAAAATAATTTAAATATTAATCTCAATAAATCATATTACATTCAATTTAATAAATCAAAGCATGAACAATACAATTTCACTCTAGACATAATGAAAATAAGAGAAGTAGACCATTTAAAGTTTCTCGGTATAACTGTAGACGAAAACCTCAATTGGAAAACACACGTTAATGATTTGTGTAATCGAATAAATAGGTTTGTTTATGCCCTCAAACGAGTAAAGAACGTAGCCAGCGAAAGACACAGCTATATTAGCATATCGTGCTTATATAGAATCTATTCTTCGATACGGGATTATATTCTGGGGCAATAGTGTTGAAAAAAATAGGGTTTTTATTGCACAAAAGAAATGCTTCAGGGCTATCTGTGGAATCGCACCTGATCAATCGTGTAGACCATTATTTAAAAGTCATGGATTATTGTCGCTGCCATCTCTCTTTATTTATGAAGTGGCTGTTTTTGTCCATCAAAACAAAGAATTGTTTAAAAAGGTTAACAATGATAGACTCAGGGACCCTCACAGATTGATTTATGATGATATTCCGAGGTCGGATAAGTATAGGAATAGTTGTTTGTGCATGTGTGTGAAAATTTATAACAATATTCCTAGGACTATGAAAAATTTGAATATGAATATGTTTAAGAATAAATTATATAAGTGGCTAAGTGACAATACGTTTTATGACATTAATTCTTTTTTAAGTAAATATAAACCTTGACATTACTAGCAATTATGACATCCAATAAAACATTATCATTAAATAAATAATGTACAGTAATCTTGACATTGAACATTTTCTTAAATAAATATATTTGCATGCTGTTATGTAATAGCAAAACACGTGGACATTAATAATTTTGTAACAACTTTATACCGTGCTTTGGGCAAATAAATGATTATTATTATTATTCCCGTATCCATAATTTACTCTTCCCGACCCCTCGACGATTCGAGGGGTGGGAGGATTCCCCCCGGCAGAGGAGGCCAGACGGCCGGGGGTCAGGGCGACAAAGAGAGAAAACGGCGGACGATCCTTGCGTTATCGAGCAAGATCGCCCGCTGGAGCCTCGCAATCATTGGTCCGTCACGGAGTCCCAACCTCTTCAGATGGTCGTGAAGAGAAGTCGGGACTAGGCCATTCGTTGACACTACGACTGGGATGATCTCAGTGGATGACACTCGCCACATATCGGTAACCTCGTGCGCCAGGTTCAGATATTTAAGTTTTTTGTCTGATTCGGCTTTCACGAGGTTTTCATCGAATGGGACGGTGACATCCACTAAGAACACCCGAGATTCCGCCCGGTCCATCAGTACGATATCAGGCTTGTTCGCAGGAACAGTCCTGTCCGTAATGACGGACCGGTCCCAGTACAATCGAGCGCGGTCGTTTTCAAGAACTGGCTCCGGCACATACTTATAGTACGGCACCTTTTCGCCTATGAGGCCGTATTTGAAGGCTAGCTCGAGATGGAGTATTTTGGCTGCTTGGTCATGTCTGTGCAAATACTCGGTATTAGCCAGTACAGGACAACCGGAAGTAATATGCCTGAGTGACTCACCGGGCTGGTAACAGGCTCTACAAACGTCCTCTGTCCCATCCTTCAGGATATACTTCCGGTAGTTTCGGGTCATAATGACCTGGTCCTGTATTGCACAGACAAAACCTTCGGTTTCCCCAAAGAGGTCCCCGAAGCGCAGCCAATGCACGGAGGCTCTCGGATCCACATGACGCTCGTGTAGCGCCTTGTAGAACCTACCGTGCAACTTCTTCTCCCTCCAAACGGCCTCTCGGTCAGTGGTGCTAAGTACTGCCGGTTCTCGCCATTGCTCGGTGGCCAAAGAGAGAGGGGTTAGTCCTACATCACATGCTTTGACATCTCTATGCAACTCACTGGATTCCGATTTCGCCAGGAAGTGATTACGGAGACTGTGTATCTCGCGGTTGTGCAGGGTTTTCGCACTGAGCAGCCCACGACCGCCGCTCTTCCTCGGGATATACAGCCTCATCACTGACGATCTCGGGTGGTGCATCCTATGGAGTGTCAAAGTTGTGCGCACTTTCCGATCCAGGGCGTCCAATTCGGTCTGAGTCCATCTGAGTATGCCAAAGGTGTACATTAGGACTGGCATGACCCAACCGTTGATGGCCCTGACTTTGTTGACGCCTGACAGATAGCTTTCAAGCACCTTAGTCAGGCGTCCCAAAAAGGCCTCCTTAACGGATTGTTTCACGTCCGCCATATGCACACCCAGATTCTGTGACATACCCAGATACCGGTATGTGTCAGTTTCGGAGAGGGTACGGATGGTGGATCCATCCGGTAGGTCCACTTGGGTGGAATCACTTATCCGACCTCTATCCACATGGATAACCGCACACTTGTCCAGCCCAAACTCCATGCTGATGGAGCTACTGAAATCCTTTGTGATTTTCAGCAGCTCCGCCAGCCTCTGAGCATTTGGAGCAAGCAACTTGAGATCATCCATGTAGAAGAGGTGAGATATTTTGAACAATCCTCTCTTCAACTGAAAACCTGTCCCTGGTTTATCCAGCAAAGTGCTAAGCGGATTTAGGGCCAGGCAAAACCAAAGTGGACTCAGACAATCGCCCTGGAATATACCCCTCTCAATCTTTATTCGGTCTTCCGCATCCGACAGCTGCACCCCGAACAGACTAAGCTGCGTACTCCACTGCCCCATACAGGTCTCAAGGAAGTTTCGAACTGTACTATCGATCTTGTACAGCTCGAGGACCCTCTTCAACCACGTATGGGGAACCGAGTCAAACGCTTTTTTGTAGTCTATCCAGGCTGCAGAGAAGTTGCGTCGGTTGCGTTTGACCTGTTGGGCCACGACCGCATCGATCAGGAGAAGCTCCTTTGAACCGCGGCTCCCGCCCCTGCATCCATTCTGAGTGTCCACCATGATATGATTGTGCTCAACGTGAGCATCAATCTTAGCCTTCAGAATGAATGTCAGTGCTTTGTAGGTGGTACACAAGCACGTTATGGGGCGGTATTGTGACGGATCCGCGGTATTGGTGGACTTTGGAGCTAAGTGAGTGACCCCAGTTGTTAAGAAGTTTGGGAGACTTCGCTGTTCTAGGGCGTCTTGGAATTGGCGGGCCAGGAATGCGTGGCATGAGCGGAAACTCTTCAACCAGTAGTGGTGCAGTCCGTCAATCCCTGGAGTTTTCCAGTTCGGAGCTTTACGGACCGCAGCCAACACGTCATCCGACTCTATGGTAATGGGGTTCATCGCATCTATCGATGCACACGCTTCCTCTATAGGCGCCATCCATTCGCCCTCTATGTGCTCCACAGGCCGGGACCAGATGTTCCGCCAAAAGGCAATGACATCTGTGACATTCGGTCCTTGGCCAGTGGAGGGGCCAGCTCGTGTCTCCCATGTACGGTAAAACTTCTTTTGGTCACTCCCAAAGAGACGATTCTGGTGAAACCTTGCCCCTCTCTCGGAGTACCGCCGTATCCGACTTCCCCAAGCCGCAATTTTCTGTTTCAGGTCATCGATGCGCTCCGACACTTTTCGCATTAAGGCGGGGTCTGCAAGACTGAAATCTATCCCCGCCATTGCCATGTGTACGTAACGCATCACCCTCGGCCTCGTATTGCCTGACCTGAAACTAATCAGTTTGCCGATGCGGACTCTGGTCTCAGCAATACGTTTCTCAATCCTCTTACGCCACGCCGGAGTCTCGCTGTGCCGGGCATTGGTATGCCGTTCAGCTCTCCCAGTGGGCACTTTGGCGCCGATGAATCGACAGACCGCCAATGCGGCGCCAAATAGGATCGAGTTGGTATCACTGAGACTGCCGCTTTCTTCCAAGTATGGAAGAGGCATTTGGCTTACTGCCTCAACGACATCCCGATTTTTATGACTTAGGGGTATCCTCGGGATCTTCGGCCTCTCCTCAAGTGGGAGCTTGCGAAATTCGAGAATCGCCTCTTCAAGTAATCCCCTGATCTGCTCTAAATTCTGGGCGGTTGCGTCGTCTACCCTTCCCGTTTCATCAGGAGCAGAACTGGCCACTGTAGCATTGGGGTCGCATATGGTGCTGCGCGCAATGCTACTCCGCCTTCTGCTCTGCCTTCTGCTACCGGGACTCATAGACGACACAACCTCGAGTCGTAGTTGACCGAGTTCTGCTAGAGTAAAGATTTCTCTCCGAAGAATAAAGCGAACTCGATCTGCCAAATTTTGCGCCGTAACGGACAGCGAAGGCTCCAGGGTATGAAACGCAGCAAGCAATCTTGCCCGATAACCCGTTCCGCCGACACCTGTCTCTGTCGCCCTGTAGTACGCGCGCATGATGTTTTCGTTTTGTGGAGTAGTCCACCTCATGCGGCGTACTGCACCAGCGGCGGGGACCGATTGCTGGGTCTGTGAAGACCCTGCCGGACCCAAGCCAGCTGGTGGTGATGGTGGAGTGGGCCGGCGAGATGGTCGTGCCGGCCCTCGGGGTTGGCTGGCTCGCATTCTGCTCGACCCGGCGCCAGCTCCGGGCGAGCCCTGGCGACCCCCAGGCAGCGGCCCTATACGCGCTCTATTTACTCCACTCATCATCGTTCCACTCCACTCATTTCCTCCACTCATTTCGTATTATTATTATTATTATTATTCTTATATATCGGATTCTTAGTTCATTTAAGTTCCCTGATATACCTACGTAATTTCTTTTATTGTTTTTATTCGAAAGGTATATGTTCGTATCTCCATGATATTCACATTTACATTTCTTTGATTCCTGTGTTTCTTTTGTTATCTGTGTTTGTATTATGTTGTTTGTTTGTATTTTTTGTATTGTGTTATATAGTTTATGTTTTTGTTTGTGTTGTTTTTGTGTGATTATATGATATTTCGTTATATCGGATCTTGAAACGTAACTATTCGTATGCTGTTGTGGCTCTGGCCAGAAAATCCCACTTTGCCCTAATTGGGCATTCCTTACTGAAGGCGTTGTGTGTGTTTTCCGGCAGCCCCGAGTGCAAACAATTACAGCACCGAGGGGGCTTTCCCTCCCTGTCCGGACATTCCGGGCGAAGATGGGACCCCCCACAGTGGCTACATCTGGTCGCACTCGCGGTGCAAAATTTCCTTCCGTGCCCGAATTCTAGGCACTTTGTGCATTGTATCACCGGGGACTGGTCCTCCACCCTAACCCTCTGAAGATCAATGTGGAGGTATCCAGCCCCGGTCATCCTCTGCCAGAGCGATGGTTTTATTTGTAATGCTATGTGGATTGTGTTTTCTCTTCTTGTTGACTTTTTGAATTTTATTTTTATTTTCTTGTCTTCCTCAAACAGTCCTTCAAATATGCATTTATTTTGTTCTTGGATGGCTTGTATTAATTCCTCATCGTCGATATCTTTAAAAACATCCTTGAGGACCACCAGAGGGTCCTTGTTTGTTGCTTTTTCTATTTTAAGTTCCTTTCCTATTTTTAATTTACCTTCTATTTTTTCTATTTGTTCTTTTTCTTCACACCCAATTATTACTCTTTGATCTTTGCATTTTCTGATTTGATCTACTTTTATTCCTTCTTTTTTTGCATCTATTTTATTCTTTACCTTTTTTATAACGTCTTCGCTCATATCATTTGGATTCGTTGATTTTATTATTAAGGAGTGAAGGGTTTTTGGGACTCTGTTCTTTTGTTCCCTTATCACTTCAGCGTAAGTTGGTATTTTGCTGGTGTTTTCTACAGTTTTGCTACTAGGTTTCTTAGTTTCTATTTCTCCTATTTGATGTCGTATCTCCGCTATTATTTCTTCTCTTGCGTGTATAATGCTGTCATTCAAATGTCCTTCAATCTCCTTTAAGCACTGTTCAGCAAGTGTGTTATTAATGCTTGTCCCATTGTCTGATTCCTTATCCCTGTTGTCTATTTTATCTACTAGTTTTTCTGCGTATTCTTCTATTTTAGTTCCTGTTTCCTCTATCTTTTCTCTAATTGAATTTTCATTGTCTTCTATTTTTTCCCCCATTCGTCTTCCTATGTCTATAATCTCTGCTGTTAAATTATCTTCTATATTTTCTAGCTTTCTTATTATTTTTGTTGTGTTTTTTGTTGTGTTCCCCTCTCTTTCCCATTCATCCGTCTTTTCCTCCATTCCTTCTTCTATTTCTTTAAGCCTATTCTCAACATTTCCTAGATATCTCTCTTCCCATTCCTTCATTAATTTTTCCATTCTAATTGTTGCTTCTTCTTGTGAATTTTTCATTCCTTCAATTGTTTCTTTTAGGTCTTCTTCTTTCTTTAGTTCTTTTATATCTCTTTCCATAATCCCGTATCTAATTTCTTGCTGTTCGATGTAACTTCTAATTTCCTTTACCGTATCTTCCATCTTCTTCGATTTTTCCTTAGTTTTCCTTAATGTGAGTATAAGCTTTTCTTTCGTATCCTTTCTTAGGGTTGCTTGTGACTCCAGCACTTCGAGGGCCTTTGATAGTTTACTGGTGATATTTGTAAGTTCTTCCCAGAAACGGTCCATATCGGGTCCCCATTCTCGTGGTTTAGATTCTGTCTTTTCTTGCGGTGTTTTGGGGTTACTCCCTAGACTCCTACGTGGTGAAGGGGTAGGAGCCTGTTTCTGGGTGCCAGATAGTCTTTGTGCCATTTGTGGTGATCTAAACATCTTCTTTTCTTTTGCAGGTATCTTCTTCTGCTCTTAATAAACGTGGGGGGAATCGCAGGATGGGAAGTATTCTATGGTAAGTATTTATTTTGTATGTTTGTATGTTGTGTTTTATTTATGTGTGTGTCGTGTATATTGTATAGTCTAAAATGTTTGTTGTGTATTGTGTGTTATTTTAGTGCTGCTTTTAGAGCCCTGCTCAAGTCTGTGTGTATGTATTTGTATGCTTTGTGTGTGTATATCAGTTGCAGAGCCTAGCTAGATGCGTACGTGTCAAAACTTATATCCTAAGACTCGTCCCAATAGGGTACGATGTCAAAAAAGGGTCTTAAATTTAAATAAATTTGGGTAAAATACGTGTCAATTAAAAGTCAATTTTTTTTCCGGGAAATCGTAGTTATTTTGTTGTAGGTTTTTATTATGTTTTTTATTATGCTAATCTATTACTATTTTATTTTTTTCTGGAATTTTTCCGGCGGCCATATTGGAAAAACCGTGTTATGCACGTTACGGGGTTCGTCTTGGGGTCTTTTATTATTGCCGGGGGGGTTGTAAGACCTTCTCCGGTGTTAGTTCACTCCTGTATTTAGTGTTTTTTTGTATAAGGGGGCAAAAGGGGGGGTAAAATCTTAAATATCTTACTGTCTATACATGTTAACATTACAAAATTTGGAGTAAACTTAAAGCTAATATATTTAAATCTAATATTAAATTACGGGGTTTTATCTTCAAAAATGCGCCTCCTGGAGCTCGGGGAAAAATGGGTCCAGTTTTCTCTGGGCGATTTCTGCTGATGCTGAAGAGCCCGGATGTCGCCAAATTTTTTCTGGGTAGCGCTGGGGAATGCCTTCGAGGGCAGCTCATAAAAAAGAGCTGTTCTCCACAATCCCCAGACACTATGAATTTTGAAGTTCGGAATTTTTAAAATCACGCATCTTTGTCGTTTCTTGTCCGATGTTTCCCCTTTTTGGTTCTATTGATTCACCGCGATGGTCCCCGTCTGTTGCTGAGGTCAGTAGTCCCCCAGGTCCCCCGGATCTGGTACCTCGTGGCGAGAGGTTATTTCGATAATCTCGAATAACTCTCGAGCCACTCGAGGTCGAGGGGATCCACTTGACTCCTCGGCTGGGGCGCGCTTTTGCGCACCTGGTGATATATCTTACACTGTGATCCAATAGTTTTCCACTGTTATCACTAAAAAACATGTATTTTTTGTACTTTTTATGTGTCTATTTTCACTGTTTTCTTAAGAACTTTTCAACGCTTCACTGATTTTCACAAACTTTGTACCGGCGTGTAGGTCTTTTTATTACGCGTCTTTTGATGTATAATGCGTCGGGATCGGACTTGGATTTACTTTTTCGGATTTTTCCGTACGGAGCACACGTGTTTTAGATACGTTCCGGACGGCGTTCGAGACGTACTTTTTTACTGTTCTTCATATTAGGAACGCTTGGTTCTCCCCACGAAGGCTTCAAGTGTTTCTTCTTGTATCGACAGGCAGAAATATTGCCAGGATCGAGTTCGGGCAGATGCAAATGTGATTCGACGACGGCATATGTGACTTACGTGGATGAGGACGAAAAAGTTTTGATTTTGTTACCGCAACAAGATTCTCCATATCCATGACATCTGTGTATCCACTTGGTCGGTTACATCCCAATTCTGATAACGGCGGGTAGTCCGAAGGGGCTATTATGAAGCCCAAATAGATCGTCCATATCGGAGGACTATTTTTAAAATAATACTGCAGGCGTGTATACCAACGTGGATTTGTTCCATTTTATCACTTTTCACACGAAAATATAACGAGATGAGCGTGATGTCGTCAGATGTCTTTACTCCTCCGCGATCGGAAACAGAATGTGTGCCAAAAATGGCGGCAATTAGCGTTTGTTAACGAACTGTCAAAGTCAGTGTCACCATTCCTATTCTTTTCAAAATTAGAAGTATCGATGATCACGCTCTCTCTACAATCGAGTTATTAAGTAATCGAGTAACTAGCAATTTAAAAAAAAGTAACTAAATCAAGTGATCTTCGTAAAGATGATGCGACATATATATAATTTGTTTTTATTCCTGTGCAATTTTTTGCTGTTATATTGTGATAATGGTTTGTTCAATAAATCATTCATTCATTCCGTCTTTACTTTCAAGAAATGATATTTACAAGAAAACATTAATAACTTTAAGAAGCATTTAGGTATTTTATCTTTTATTAACGTATTTAAGCAAAATGATATAAACACAGCTTTTAATGAGTATAAAAATAATTATAATAATGGAGTATTGTATAATGACGAAGAGGTTATAGACTCAAATTATGATTGCTTCTACATTTAATGATTACTTTATTGATGACATAAAAACTAATTCTAATTCTAACAGAAACGTGATAAAATCAACAATATCAAACAGTATTTTTTTACCATCGGTAGATGAAAATACAATATGCAAGACTATAATGTCTCTAAAAAACTCACAATGAGAAGGTTATGACTCTCTTTGCACTAAGGTGCTACAATATTGTAAAGGTGAAATCTGTCAGGTACTGACCTTTTTGGTGAATCTATCATCACAATGGACAGTTTCCTGATAAATTGAAATTAACTATTATTAAACCGTTGCATAAAAAAGGGGACAAATCTGATGTTCGTAATTACCGACCAATAGCAATATTATCAGTTCTCTCAAAAGTTTTTGAGAAAGTCATGCATAATCACCTATCGACGTTTCTTGACAAATTCCAAGTCATTACAAAGAACCAATATGGGTTTCAAAAGCATAAATCGACGACGCATGCTACTTTTGACCTTGTTAATGAGGTACTTCACAATGTGAACGAAAAAAAAAATCACAACAGTGTTATTTATAGATATGTCGAAAGCGTTCGACCGTGATCCACATGACAAACTGTGACGGTACCCCCCTTCCCTACTATCAATAATTAATTTTCTTTAATAAAATATAAAATTTAAATAATCAATTAAATGTGCGGTCCAACAAGACCTTCTAATAAGAATATTTGTATTGGCAGTGATCGTCTAATAGGACCTACGTTGTGTTGTGTGTAGTAACCCTGGTTCTTTTGTAGGCGATTGTTAGTAGTAAGAGAATATGATATTGAGGGCATGTAAACGAATTACCTATCTACTAAATAAATACGATTAACATAAAACTAGCCAGTCTCTAAGAATCTTGTGAAGCATAGAACTAAAGGATTTGAGTAAGAGAAAGTAACGACACTTGATCCTAATAACACTGGATACATTACATTACAATAGAAATGTTATGTTTAACATAGAAATGAAATATTTAATAAGGGTCAAATGAAAGGATGGAAGGAATAAGGTATTAGGACTAAGATTAGAAAGTAAAAGTATAATTAAATCCAAGGAGAAGGATGTTGTGAAAATATATACACATTATTTGTGTTGAAGGTGCTTTCAGGCCCCGACCACGCCCTCAGCTTGAGACCCACCATCACGGCCCCTTAACCAAAGAAAGAAATGGTAAGGAGTTAGGAGGAGTCAACCCAGCACTAAACTCATAATAAAATTAATTATAGACGTCACATTTACATCCAATGTAACTAGCATGATTCATTATGGTGTATGATCGGGCACACATTCATTGTTCACAGTAGGGTTGTAGACACCATGAAGGCCTTGGCCAAACATAGTAAAAAGGCAAAACGACACACACAGCAACCGGGGAACTACATAGGAACTCAACTGGTCCTCCACCCAATGTAGATCGCTACAGGGCTTCAAGGGAGCAAGTCTACCGCCATGCATAGACGCCGATATACTGAGTGGAAATAAGTCCCTAATGGCATAATGGTAAGCCAGTATAACCGACAACCGTCATCTTAACAATATATGAGCCGACTGTCGATCAACAAACGGAGCCGACCACAACCCAAATGTATCAGCAGCCAAACTGGAGGCATTTGTTATTTCAAAATAAATCATAATTATAAGAATTACCAATCTTATCGAACTAGGCAACTCAGGAAAGGTAGTGGTATGTTGTAGGGTGACATATGTCATGACCTACGATGAATATTTGTGGAATTTGCAGTATTTCGCTCGCCAGCAGAAGTATTTATAAATATTTATGCATTGTGCATATAATTTATTTAATATGCTGTTATATGTTCAGCAGGAGTCTCTCATATAATGAGGAATTCAATATTATTTATTATGTTTTGTTTGGTAATTTAACCAAAATAGAAATATATGTTAGCGTTACCAGCATTATTAAGGTAGCGTAATAGTACAGGACAGACATGCGTCATGGCCTATGTTGAACATTTATAAGGTTGCAGTATTTTGCTCGCCAGCATAATTAATTCTGAAGATTTATGCATCGAGCATATAATTTATTGAATAAGCTGTATGTATATTCAGCTGTTATAAGTCTCTCATAGAATGAGGAATTTATTATTATTATTTATTAAGGTGTTGTATGGTAATTTAACCATATTTTCTTTTAATGGTGAATATAAACAACTTTGTAAATGTCACCAGTGTTATTAAAGCAGGCAATTGAAGAAACGAGTAGAGTGATGTATATAGGACAGACACAAGTCATGACCTATATCAAACATGTATTAAATACGTCTGTTTGATGCATATGACATAAGCCGTCGTATGTCCGGCTGAAGTCTCTCCCATAATAAGGGCTGTTATATTATTTTCCTCTGTTTGTCGTTAATCCTCACCATTTAGGTATCGTTAGTTATCGCTTAAATATAACACTAATAGCGTATACAATATTTAAATGTATACCACTCTTATCGACCATCTATATGTTGTTAAACCCGTCTAACCTTAACATCCAATCGTACGCCTGCTGATTGATACAGAACTCAGGAATTATTACGGTCCTTTCAACCCTTTGACTGAGCAGTACATAGTCAATACCTATCAATCCATATGGTTAAACTAATCTTTATTTTAATACTATTAATAGTAAACCTTTTAATTATTACATCT